TTCTGAGCGCGGAGTACAGTGGTTCTTTGCAGGACAGCCAGGTTGCATGAACATATGGGGACATTACTGGCCCACAATGAAAAAGGTCATGAAGAAACAAAATAAACACCACCACCGACTTCGCAAATTGCAAATGGTCCAGAAACCAAATTAATAATAGTTGCAAATGTTGCAGAATATTGCAGCCTTTCATAATGCAAAATAAACATCAATGGACCCTGTGATTATCGCAAACACTCAAGGAAAAATGAATCCAATCAATGGTGAAATTTTGCAATTGCTTGAAAACTACAGGACGTTGCAACACCGTCTGGTGGTTAATAAAAGGAGATATATCCCTAGTACCGCCTCCATTGTTCACACAACGCACGGAAGCTTCCATAAAGATGATTTGAGAAATCACTGCAAAGGGTTGCTACATGTTGCAAAAACGCTTAACGACTGTACAAAGCCAAATAGCGCCCTGGAATCACATCCAGCCTACTCGTTAGTATAAGCCCTCCGAGATAAAACCATGCATAGCTGCAGTACTGCAAAAATGTCGCACATTGCAGGCAGCACACCACGTTGCAACACTACAGTGGTACGTGATATTTGGCAAACATCCATTGTTATGCTTTACATCAACTTATGTGATGATATAGTTATACGTGATGTAACTTTGTACAACTGAGGCTGCTGCACTCGCACAATTAATGCAATACAGACTAATCCAACCGGGATTAGAGCATACGAATCGTAGATGATTGAGCACTTGTCGATATTTCATGACAAGCCTTATTGCGACCCCATCCCTGGTGATGCCCAAATTCATAATGATATATAATTGATTTCTCAGTTATAAAAAATTTGGTACCGTGATTATGAATCTTGAAACGTGAGTCTTGCACAAAGAGAATAAAACGGATCCAGGAATCCAGGGAGGTAGCTAAAAAACAATACAACAGATTTATGGATTAAAATTGAATGCAGGCACGCACGCACGCACGCACGCACGCACGCACGCACGCACGCACGCACGCACGCACGCGCGCGCGCGCGCGCGCACGCACACACACACACACACACACACACACACACACACACACACACACACACACACACACACACACACACACACACACACACACACACACACACACACACACACCTGTTTGTAAGCCCTCCCAAGTGGGGACCGCGCTGGACTACTACCGAGTGGGGACCACTTACACACCTTAAACATGAGCTAGCGTTACGAAATTAACATCTTAGTGCTGCTGAACACCCGAAGAGTGCGATGGTAAGCATTTCGTAGGTCTAGCAATAAGGGATCAATATCCGTAGGATGCTGCGAAGCGGGGACCAGCTAACATGACGTCAAAGGTGCGTCATATGCCTTACACTTATCAAGCTAGGGACCGGTCTCCGCATTGTAAGGTGTATCTAAACTGCCTTCATTGATGACATGGAAAGAAAGGGAATTTGGGTGATAACGTCGGTTCAGTCACGTTGGCGAACCAACTGATAGAGAAATGGAACTTGGTTGCCGATGGTTTGCCTGCACATCCTTTGTGTTGGAAGGAGCCGTGATATTTATGTTGATGTGTTATATTATTTCATATTTGTATTATATTGTATTTCATTGTTATATACACACTATATTGCATTATATAATGCTATATTTGCATTTTATTGTAATATGTTATGTGATGCTCCTATTATGTTGCTATATTTGTATTATATTGTACTATATTATGTTATATTTGACGCATGGCAAGAGCTACACGCAACTTTTCGGTTTGCAAGAGATGATTTTCACTTCTTATGCCTACTCTTATGCTACATGTTATGCCTTGTTCTTGGTTGTCATTACAGTCCAAAATTATGTCTCTTCGTCTGTGTTCGAAATTTTTTCCAACAAGTTGACGCCAAAACTTCGTCAAGACAGGACGCATAACATTGTGTGCGAATTAAAAGTTGCGAAACTATGTGGTATTACATCACATTTAGGTGGTTGACTTCAAAGCATGAATAATGCGTAAAATGAGAACAGTACAAAAATCTGAACCTCCTTGCATTTTCCAACAATCCGAGTTCTTCCGCTGATGTATTTTCATTACCCCTGTCTTCGGTACCTGGCCGGTACCTGTCTGACCAGCCCACGGCATAGATGAAGAGCAATCACAATAGCAAATTACTGCTTTGGTTAGAGTGTCAGGCGACGCCATATGACCTCAGCAGGTGAGTGCGTCGTAAAGCCCCAATGAAGACGATGACGACAACCACGATCAATCGATAGTCCTGATCGACGATGATCGACGAGTCCAGATCGACGACGATCTGGGGCAGGTCAGGGCAGTCAGCTATGCGGGTCACAAAATCGGTTTCAAACTTCTTGACATAGGTCATTCACTGCACTCTGTAAGGCAATGTTGAGGTCTCCCGACGGGGGCTTTCTGCTATTCATTTTTGTTTTTTGTGTTATTTCCATATGGGGAGGGCAGGACGACCCAGCAAATCCATCAGTTCCGATAACGGTCCACCACAAACACTCTTTTGCAAAATATTCCTTAGTTTGTTTGCAAACGGGTCAAACAACCACACCGCAAAGCAGGGTTTGCAACATAACATAACAGAGGATCGAACGTCCGGAGCCTCTCGAGCTTGCAGGTAAAAGAACATTGCCACCGCAAGGCAGCGATTGCACACAACGCAGCAGGGGATCTAGATATGGAGCACTCTAAGCTTTCAGCTGAAACTACATTTCCATGGCACGCTTGTGCTTCTGGATCACATTGTATGCACAGAACTTAACATCCTTCCAGGAACGCCGGGACAGTGCAGACTCCTCCTTCAGTGCCGCTAGGCAGTCTGCCATTCCTGGGCACTTCAGAGAACCAATAAATGGCTTCATGCGCCTCTGTATAGCCTCCTTTTTTCTTTCAGTCCACAGCACGACCTTCCTTTTGGCTTTGGACCTTCTTTCACTAATCCTTGGCCCCCTGGGTGGTCTGTTTTCTGCTTCAGCTTGGGGATCGGAAGCCATCTCTTTAGCGTTCTTCACCTCCATCTCCACCCCCATGTCGTCAGGGGCAATACTGCTGGCGCAGTCCTTCATGTCGACACTGGGAGCGGGACCACCTTCGACGACATCGTCACTGCTGCGAATCCGCCGATCCCTTTGTCCATCGCGAGTAGTATTTTACTCACTTTGGCAGCATGCACCGTCTTTTCGGGAAGTCTATAGAACTGCCTGTGGACCCGTATGTCATGGCCCATAAAGCGGCCACGATATCCATTTCGGTCTCGCTCAGTTGCAGCACCTGCAGCATAGTGGCCACATGCTTTCTGTACTTCGTGGCTGTGATGTTGTTGACACGTGCCCTTCGCGCGAATGTCCGCACGCAGTCGCTGCCTATGAGCGTGCTCGCATCTGGGGCTGTGCTGTTGACGAAAATGTGTGGACAGTCGAGAGGGATCCCAACGTCTTTCCTCGCTGCGATCAGCTGATCAAGCGCCCCTCGCATTGTGGCTGTCAGCATGATGGGCACATCGCCTCCTTTTTTGCCCCGAACCACTACATGTCCCAGCGAATGGCATAGCTCTCGCTCTAAGGGAGACAGGTGCTGCAGGACATCTTCATTGAGAGTTTGGTCCCTTTCAGTGTATGATCTGACCGTAAGCCTTGACGCTTCTCCCGGCCTTCGCCGGTTAAACAAAATGATGGATGCCAACGCAGCCCCCGACAATTTAACATAGTTCTTGATAGAGCGTTCCTCTTCCAACAGCCGCTGAGCCTGTACCAACTCATCCTGCACCTCCTTCGTTACACTCTGAACATCCGCATTGAGGGGAAGGTCGACGGGCTTATTCCACTTCCTTTCTTGGAGAGTGGTAAGCGCACGAGAAGACACGTGTAGCTTCCAATCTCGTTGGTAGAGCAGGAGGAAATCGTCCGCAGCCGTCCTCAGGGTGGCGTCTTCGTAGGTGATCCCGCGCGTTTTCAGTACGCCCGCGCATTCACTGAGGGCATAACCAAGCCTGAGAGCAAGCGATGGGTTATGATATTTGCCCTCCTTCACACCGGCCAGGTTCTTGACCGCGCCTGCCACCTCCATGAACTTTGCGGGGTGAATAAACATCTCTAGAGCTGATCCTGGGCTTGGTGCATTCAGCTCCAGCAGCAGTCGTCCCAGCTGCCGCATTTGTTCTCTGATGTGTGCTTGTTGATAGCGCTCGTGGCCCAGTCTTGTGTAGAGACGGGCCCCGAACTCCATCATAAGGGCATCCTGCCTGCAAGTGGACGAAATACTATCGTCTCGCATCTTCGCCATCAGGTTTTCTAAGCCAGCCGCGGCATCTCTGTGGCACGGCAGCAAGGACCTTCCCTGGGACTGGACTCGGCCCCCAGAGGCAGTTTTCCCATGGGCGTGGCACCGATGCCGAAAGAGGCTGCATCGAGAAAAGAAACCGTGATATTTCCCACATGGCAGCATATCTTTCACGTTGACATTCATATTTTGGGGGTGGACGCCTCTTGGGGACGATCGTTCCTCGCCCATCTCGGAAAACAGCAGAGTTATGTTTGAAATTGCCGTTATGAATGGTGCCTTCCAGAGTAATTCTCCTCTCCCTTGATCCTTTTGGAAAGGCGAGCGCGTCAAGTACGTCGGGTTCTTGTTTATGCTTCCGGAAAAGATGGCACGCAAATGTTGTGTGCAGGGTATCGCAATAGGGACAAACGTTCCGCTTTAGGGATGGCTTTCTTTTTTTAGGAGATTTTTCAACAGAGACACTGTGTTCGCCGGAAGCCCTACTGCTGTTCTTGGCCACTACCTGGGCCTCATCCTGGTCCTCATTCTTGTCTTTGACTTCCTCCATATCCTGGTTCTCGTCCATATCCTTGGACTTGCCCTTGTCATCGTCCTCGTCCATGTCCTCGTCCATGCCCTGGTCCTCGTCCTCATCCGTGTCCGTTGCTGGCCGTGGGTCGGGGAGGTACGTAGGATCTTCATCTTCATCGTCATCAGGAATGAGGCCAGAAGCATCATTATCATGATCTGCGGACAGAGCGATCGCCATTGGTTACCTAGTGACGAGTATTAAGCAAAAACGAAAACAAAAAACCAGTACGTCGGAAGAGGGATCGTTCGGGTTACCCAACGATGCGCTACAGTGCCAGACCTATCGGAGTTGCGATTCTTAAACCGAGGGGACCGAGACACAATGCGCCGGTGGTCAGAGGCGAACCAGGGTACTTTTGGCCCCGAAGCCAACGCCTTAGCCAACTAACCCACATGGCCAAGTGGCTGTGTAACCAAGGGAACATCGATTCATGGGGCGTCGGTCTACTGACCCCGCTCGGTGCTAGGGTACGGGCAAGTGCGTGGTTGGCCACAGTTACTCTGTGATGCCTACTACATGGGATCACGTTGGTGCGTGTGTCCAATTCAGGGCCGTCGACCACCTGCTGTTCACCTGGTAAATACACCCGCGCCCCAAGTTTGCGCATCAAACTCCCAGCGGGATGTGCAACAATCGCCGGGTGCATCCACGTCGTCCGTGGAGCCTTGGTGCCTCCACGCACCATCCCATATCACGAACGGAGCGCGGCGACGAGGTCATATCGCGGCCACCAGCAGCCCACCATGGGGTATGGCGGTCCCATAGAGCACCTCAGTGCTGCGCAACGATTACTTACAGCCCTTGGTGCTTTCGGCGCCGCGTGGGGTTGCGCGCGCGCGCGCCTCGTCCATGTTCGTTGCTGGCTGTGGGCCGGGCACGAACGTCGAATCCTCATCATCGTCTTCTGCGAATAGACCAATGGTGGTTGGCTACCTGATGACCATTATTCAGGAAAAAATATAACAAAAAATCGTTGGCAGGCAGGACGTTCGGATTATTTAACAATGCACTAAAGTGCCGGACCTATCGGAGTAACGATTCTCATGCCGACGGGACCGAGACACAATGTGCTACTGGCCAGAAACAAAAAAGAGAAAACATGGGACATTGTGAGTTTGAGGCTTACTTATGTCACCGCGACCAGCCTGGCCGACAACAGATTCTAACATCAGCGTATTTGTCACGATGGCAATTGAAGAGAAAATTTGGCGCAGAAGCCATGTGATATTTAAGCGAGGTCAGGCCTGAGGCTCGGCGGGAGCCATTTAGCGATCTAACTACAGCTGGCGGTAGGGGGAGCGAATGGGTGCCCCGGCTGCGCCTCACCGCGGCCCGTGCGATGGGGAGATGGCTTAAGGACTTTCAAATTCGAAAACTTATATATGGTAATGCGTATGGCCGGTGTCGGCCATGCATGTAAATGCCCATGGCCATTCGCACGGCCATAACAGCTGTTGCTGTTGTGGGTCGACTGGCAGGCAACTACGTGCGTGACGCGCGACAACTGTCGACAACGGTCGACGCGTGACAACTGCGTCGCGCCGGAGAAGCACCAAGATGTGCTGTTTGTCTGGAGCCACTCAGCTCCAGATAAAAACAAAATCAGAAGCTAGCATCCCTATTGGCTTTGGACGCCGCTGTGGCCATAGATATCGGAACAATCGGACAAGCGAACGAACAATCGAAGGAAACCACCCACCGCGCACGGCGGACATACGCTGACACATTAACGGAATGTACATCATACGTGTCAGCGCAACACCATTCAAAGGTGTGTACCATTGCGCTCAGAATTAAACAAGAGAATACGTCTGTTTAAGCGTTGCTTCGCCTCATAGCTGGATTTCCGAAACACGGTCATTCAGTTACTTCAATTATCCGGCAAAATTGACCTTCAACCTAGCCTAGTGAGGTCAGTTCTTGACTTCGGAACAAAGGGCTGAAAAATCGCGAGACCACATTGAGACCAATCTACTATTGTTCGTCCGGATCTAACTTTCTTAGCTTGTCTAACTTTCTTGGCTTGAAAACGGAAGGGAGCGATAGCAACTTTTGCCTTTTTGTCGCCTTTTGGATTGGACTAGGTATACGGAATGGAATCAGTACCCTTCCGCCAGTCGTGCACCGCATTTCACATGATCTCGATTTCTTGAGCAGTTCGTGATCTTATGAGTAAATTTACCTGAAGCTGGTTTTCGTCTTGTAGTTTTCTGTCTCACCACTGAAAGAGGAAAACCAAAGATCATGATTTCTATGAACAGTTTCTTTCATGGACGGAACAAAAATGTTCGTAATGACTGGTATCTTGGAAGTACAAAAGAACCACTTTATAATTAACTAAAAGCAGGCAAAAAACAATGACGACACACAAGCTGCAAAACGTTACGAAACAAAGCAATGAGCAAATTTCCCGCGCAGAGCAGTTGGGATTTGCAGCAATGACAGATAGTCTATACCATGACACATTATGTTGTTAGGCGATATCTACCAATGATCAGTTTTAAACCCAGAGCACAATCACCCTTGGTTGCTACACCCACTCTCAAAGGGCATTGTGCGATCTGATGCTCTGAGCTTATGCTGCTGCTCACGCTTCATTCAATGCTTTAAGAAACGCTTTTTAGCCCATGTACCAACCTTTCTCAAAATATGACCGGATTAGGCTTGGAAGCACTCTTTCTCTCGAAACCCATGTAGGAACTCTGACATAAGTTGAGAAATGTGAGAATGTACGCCAATTAGGCAAGCAGAAGATAACTAGTGGCCAGGAGTTGCACACGGAAAAACTTGAGGGGTCCCGGAGTGGCCAGAAGGGGCCTTAAGAATAGTCAGAGAATTCTGTATTTGTAAAATCAAGCAAATAAACGTTGGCTCTTATTTTATACGATCATTTTCTCATGCGCGAGGAAAGAAAGCATTTAGGAGACCCCGGAGCACGCTGGAGACCCGCTTCATTACATTTCATGACGCTATTTTTATCATACAGTCATACCCTCGCCTAACGATCATAACACATCAGCATGGAAGACGTCAGGGCTGGTTGCTAGCATAGCCGAAAAGCCACGCCTTCCCAGGGCACGCGCATGGGTATACATAGCTCACGTGTCTTTGGTTGCACCACTGCAAGGCATGGGTAAGAGAACCGGGGATGAATAGGGGCAGGGGCTAAAACCTACATGTTTCTGAAAATTTAGCATTGGTCCTTTGAGCGTTCACTGGAAAAATAGTCCATTGACTACCATCTTTTGCTTGGTTGGGTAATCGGTCGCTGGACCGCTGGGCGCGTGGGTCGTAGGGTTTTCCACGGAGCGCATATTGGTCATGGGTTTTGTCGAGGTCTTTGGAAAAAAGGGGATCGGGCAGTCCGTTTGCCTCCCATCTCGGCACCGCCCATGTTCATTTTCAGGTAAGTATAACAATGTTTATATCGGTTTATTCATGCTCCGAAGAGCTATGCCAAGAAACGCGTAGACGAAGCACTCAAGTCATTCAGTCTTTCACTGAATGTCTTAAAAATCGGCACACGGCTGTCCAAACGAAACGCAATGCAGGAGTGCCATTCACTGATCAACCAACAAGGATCACTTGTTAGCTCGATGAGATTGGGACACTGTATGCTCTTACCTGAAGCCACTATACTTCTCCAGTATAAACATGCCATCTTTGCTAGAGATATGCTGAATAACTTCAAGCGGTATGATTGGTGCCTATAACAATGAGCACAAGCATTTGTAAAACACAACATATTTTGGTTGCCTTTTGACTGTACCAAACAGGTGGAGAAACATACGTTAAGCCGCGCGTATAGGAAACCAGACGTACGGAGTTCGATTCGCTGCCTGGTCCAGCCTTCCTGCCAGGGCAGACGCCATAAACTGGGAAGAGAAGGCCGACCACTGAATTGGGATTGCCTGCATCACAAGTCGGTGGGGAGCTAAAGTCGTCCACCGGTAACGTCAAGATTTCAAAAGATCAATCACACAAGACCCGTCAATCCTGTTCACGTGTCTGTTCACACATAAAATGCATGAATACAATATCATCAAGTCTGTTTACCAGAAATAGATCAGTTCCTGGAATGCCACCTTCTTGGCCGCCATGCTTTCTTCCATGAAGTGAATGCCACTTTCCATCACAAGCTAGCATTACATCACTTGGTCAACGGAATGGTATTAGAAGGGAACACTTTATTCATCGCAGGTCTCCAAATCGCAAGAGCAAATAATACAGATTAAGAGCAATGGCAAATGAATGTCTTTCTTAAAGATGAGTAGGAGACGGTAATAAAATGATGAGACGAATCCCACATTGCTTTTTATTTTTATGTCATAATTCTGCATGGTTTGCACGGGTGGCTTTGGGTTCATAGTACTTGCTAAGTATTGCTTGTCGCGTATACCCTGAACCCACCACCAAAATAGTGTCATGTTTGTTTTCATGCCAATCAGACCCACTGACCCTAGTGTTTAGGGCCAGTACACCGGTTATGTCATATCAGTAACACCTGACCAGCCCGAACGAAAGCCAGAAGCTTACTTAGTATGAAACAGAAGGTGTTTTAAAATGTTTTACTCGATCAACCCGCGCGCTTGCGTATGAAACAGAAGGCGTTTCAAAATGTTTTACTCGATCAACCCGCGCGCATGCTAAGCAGTCTAGGCCGTTTATCTTACAATTTTGTAAATTGACATGCGGAAAGAATGACCATTCAAAGCATCAATAATTATTAGCAAGGTGGTGAAATATTTGCATCTGTCTGTCGAATTTTTTTAACTGCTAATGCGTGCAAAGGATGAACTAAAAACACCTAAGATTAAATGTATATCATTCTTCAATTTTTGAACAGCACTTTTGAACAGCACACCGGAACCGACGATCAAAGGCCCGTTTGGAGGGTATAAGGGTCTACAGGACTGACTGTAAGTCACGTAAAGAATCGCGACCCGCAGGGTCCTGACTTGAAATACTACTCAGAGGTCCCCTTGCACCGTTTTAGGATCACCCCTCCCCCCCCCCCCCCCCTGAGACAATCGGCTCGAGACCACGAACACCGAACAGTCGGCTCCATGTCCGTCTGAGCCCTTGAGACCCATTTCCCAAGCAAAAACAAGGCCGGGGTTCGCGATTTGTAATGCTTGGGGTCCCTGGTACAATGACGGGCTTCTGTGTCGGTAAGGGGCCACCGTGTCGAACTGTGGAGGCAAGTGGCCCCGAGTCAGAGCGATTTTGAGGGGGCCCAAAGAGGGGCCGAAGGTTCGCTCGAGACCAAATATGGACTAAAGACCTATATAAGAGACCAAATACTAATATAAGATTAGAAGAGTCCGAAGGGCTGGCTGTAGGTCACATTAAGGACCCCCGCTCGTAGGGTCGTGATCTCAAATGTCAGTAAGATGATCTTTAGCACCGATGCGGGCCCCTGAGACAGAAAATTCCTCTATTGCGGTCAGAGATCGTGAACAACGAACAGTCAGCTCCGTGTTGGTCTGAGCTCAATAAGAAAAACATGTCTTCAATAACAAATGGGTCATATGAGGCGATTTGGGGGGGGGGGGGGTTACTATCAGGGTGCCCTATGTCAATCCTGTGCCCCTCCCCCTTACGAAACCCCTGGCTGCGCCCCCTGCTGCTCTCTATTGGTCAAAAGGTACACGTTAAGCTTTCAGTTTGTCATTTATCTAACAGAGTGTGCATATTTTCGTCTTATTTTGCTACTTCCTTTGCAGGCTACGCCCTTCATTTAGCTGCTCCCCAGCACTACCACAAATCACTACAGTCCACAAATTAGGGTAGGTTAAACTATGTTTTGCCTGAAATTGAGAACATAGAGGGTGGAAAGCATATGCAATATGCAAATTGTCAAAAGATTAATGAGTTAGGCCAGGTACCTAGTATATACTGTGTTATCCCATGGAAACTGAAGTAAAAACAAAAGATTTGCACCTCCAGGTTACAAAAGACTACTACATCAAGCAGCTGTGGAAGGGTCCAAGGAATGCAATGGTCGAAAAATTGAGTTTTGATGTTTTATTAACTGACAAATCATTCTGACATGAGGTGGTGTGAGCCGGCAGGAAAAGCTATTGACATGGAAGGCCACAAGCAGATCAGTCTGCAGATCACTATGCTTTTATGACCATGCTGGTCAAAGTTGCATTTATTCTAAAGTCATCAAGCACGCATTAATTGCAGTTTCCAAAAAGCATGGCTGTTCACATCTCGTGTGTTGATCTGCTGGTTGAAGGGCTTTAAGGTTTCCTGCCATCACTACTCGATATCAGGGTTCATGTTTCCTATTCCGTTAGGGAAGGGGGGGTTCTAGCCCCCCCCCCCCGAAATCTGGCTACAGGTGTCAACTACGAAAGGAAATGGCGCCAAGTTCGGAGAGGAATTGGTTTGTTGATGATCTTTGGGCTAGGCTTCATCATTTCACAAGTTTTAGGAACCCCCCCCCCCCCCCCAACAGCCCTCCCCCCTTACTCACTTTATGTACCTACGCCCCCACTCAGTGCATGCAGGTAAGGTGAGAATGGTGCACCCCATTGAGGGGCAAATAGGAACATGAGGTAAAAAGCAGGTGTAGGTGTTCCTGCCTACCTAACGTGAGAAAAAATCATTGCACACCATTCGCCCTGTTTAAGGCGGCACATATCGTAAATAATCTAAAAACAGGTAGAATCATGCTCCCACCTTCGAATTTCAAAATAACTACGATGGCGAGCTCCCGAGCGCCGCGCGCACCCCACCGTCTGGAATCCCCAGCGCCGTTTCTGTGCTGCGTAAATACAATATTTCTGCTTACCAAGAACTATACAAAATGTACGGGACCAAGGTAAACCATTCGTCGTGTTTAAGGCGGAACATATCGTAAATAATCTGAAAACAGGTAGAATCATGCTCCCACCCTCGAATTTTAATAAATACGATAGCGAGCTCCCGAGCGCCGCACGCACCGCACCGCACCGCCTCGACTCCCAAGCGCCGTTTCTGCGTTGTTGCGTAAGTACAATATTTCTGCTTATCAAGAACCATAAAAAATGTACGGGACCAAGGAAACAATTATAAAGCAATCAAAACAGTTTCTTATCGCGTTTAGGTACGTTTATGAAACACACAGGCCAGAATAGTCCAGAACATATCCTAAACTAGCCCAACCTAACCTAACCTGACTTAATCTAACCTGACCTGACCTAACCTAGCCAAACCTAACTCAGAATAGACCAGAACCTAAGCTAAGCTAAGCTAACATAGCATAACCTAACCTAACCTAACCTAACCTAACCTAACCTAACCTAACCTAACCTAACCTAACCTAACCTAACCTAACCCCACCTCACCTCACCTCACCTCACCTCACCTCACCTCACCTCACCTCACCTAACCTAACCTAACCTAACCTAACCTAACCTAACCTAACCTAACCTAACTAACCAAACCAAGCCTAACCTAACCTAACCTAACCTAACCTAACCTAACCTAACCTAACCTAACCTAACCTAACCTCCCCACCCTATATCCCCTTCAACCCAGCGTCCCATTGCCGTGCAGGTTCCATGCCATATATAGGTGCCGTATAGTGAGCTTTTATTTAGCCGCCATGTTCTCATTTTGCTTTACATGCCCCACCCAATCCCCCTGCAACCCATCGTCCCGTTGGCGTCTAGGATCAAATTTCATGGATTCTTGCTACCTTGGCCCGGTACATTTTTGTGGTTCTTGATGCTGCTTGATGCGCAGTAATGTTGTGACTGCGCGCAGTAATGGCGCCGGGGTCGCGACTGCTGTGTGTGTGCGGCGCTCGGGAGCTCGCCATCGTAATTATAAAAAAAATTTGAAGGTAAGAGCATGAATCTACCTGTTTTGTGATTATTTACGATCTGTCCTGCCTTAAACACAACAGATGGTGTACCATGATTTTTTCTAACGTTAGGTAGGAAAGTACACCCTGACCAAAAAGCATGCTGAACCCCCCCCCCCCCCCCCCCCCCACCTTTCCGTCGACAATTACAGGGGATGCAACGCTAAGACGGCCACGCAACCACCAAGTTGGAAGAATTTGCACTGCCCCACATAACGCTGCGCACCTAAATACGAGTAACCTCATACACCCAGTCAGGGGTGCGTGAGAACAGATACAGTAGAAGGCACGCTTGCCCCTTCCTTCTTCATATCTACAGAGCTTTCAACGTTAAAACTGCCGCACCGCCATCAAGTTGAAAGAATTTCCCCCTGTCCCTGACACTGCGGTGCACCCGAGTACGAGAAACTTCATGTACTTAAAAAACAGAGCCTCCAGTACAGAACATCATGCAGTTATCAGTACTCACCATATCGTGACAGCCCACAGGAACACCACTAAATACCACGCAGTTGTATCCCACGTCCCTCGATCGCGCGACGCCACACCAACCGAGCGACGCGACACCTCCACGGCATTCCAACTCGCGGCCAAGGTCTGCCATAACAATCAGTAGTGATGGGTGTGCATGTGCTCTGCCGAACCACATGATTGTTAATGTTTGGTCATTATTAAACGTCTTAAGGCATATAAAAATAACTATTGTTTATCATCTAGTCACTTCAGTCAATTCTGTCATGTCAAATCAACACTACATGGGGCGTTCAGGGTGACAGCAAGATCAGCACACCTCTTTTCAAAGATGACGTCACACATTTCAGTCGAAAGGCGAGAAACTTCTGCGGCGGATTTGTGTAAGTCGACCTAAGTCACGTGACCATGAAACATACACTTGACGGACAAAACCTACCATGTAGGGACCTCTAAGGGATTGATACCAGACCAATATCTGGACGAAATTAGCGTTTTCCAATGGTTTGCAAAATGAGGACCGATTTTCGGCTCCCACCTTGAAAACGGTCCTCACCTTGCGTGAGTGTAGCGGACTTCGGTCCCCACTTAGGAGGGTTTACAAGCACACACACACACACACGCACGCACGCACGCACGCACGCACGCACGCACGCACGCACGCACGCACGCACGCACGCACGCACGCACGCACGCACGCACACACACACACACACACACACACACACACACACACACACACACACACACACACACACACACACACACACACACACACAGGCCTGTTCACGCAGATGCAGACAAAACCTGTGACAAGACCCATCATATCAGGTGACATATAGCAGCTATACTACACCTAAGCAACATGACACATTAAAAAATATATAACCAACAGCCATTAGTATGCACACACTAGAGATGCTGGGTATAGTCCAGTAAAACTTACCTCAGAATTCCAGTAGGGCATTGAAGTTTACCAGCAGCTCTGTTCAGCAAAGTAAGGTCTGAAGAAATTAAAATACGTTAACAATCTGCATTTCAATCACAAACCCTCCCCAGTTGTTATTGTGCCCAAAATGTCTGAATTACTTTTGAGCAGAAATGCCATACAAATGTTTGAAAGTAAATGTAATTCAAGCAATTTGCACAATTTGCCCTGGCCTCAGCTGGGTACACAACTACACACATGCTCCGGGTTGGGTGCACTCAAATCATGTAAGCATCCCAGCTGTGGATGGATTTTTTTACAGACTAATATGATCACACGTGAATTAGCCACTATTTTACATTAGTTTTAAGAAATTCATCTGCAAAATAGCAATACTATTTTTTAAAACTTTGAAGGACAGAGGATTTATGAAAAACCAGGATACATATAATATATAAATTGCAAGATGACCGTGGCAGTCGAAGCGCCGCTAAAATGAAAGATACCCCATAACTGTAAAGAACATACAGCAACCTAGATCCCAAAAAAGAGGAACGTACTAAATAGCTATTGCAGCCTTCGCACGAGCACACGTTCCACGTCAGGAATCACTTGTCGCTAGGTACTCACCGATATGGATCTCCACTTGGCGCCTGGCGCTGTCGACTGCACGCGAACACGGGCCAAGTCATACAGGCGCCGCCTGAGCCCTAAAGTAGGCCAAGAGCCGCTGGCCCATTACGGGGAACAGAGGGGGACGCCGACTGATAAGAGCCCGCCAGCCTGCGCGGCGAGTCGTCCAGACGCAAACAGTTCGAGAAACACGACCCGTACACGACCCAAACACGACACGACTCGGGCACGGTAACGCAGCCAACCCAGGCATAACATGAAAAAGGCCATAAGCCCCCAATCACCACCACTCTGCGACTGCACTGCACGGCTCCGAACCACCGGGGGTCCGAAGTCTAGCATAAAATATGGCAGCAACGGCGCACATTTCACGACTAGCCGCAAGGTTCCCATGTTAAAATGACCTTCAGGCCCACGGCCTTCTAAATCTTGACCATATATATGCATGAAAAGTGCATAGAAATGTAGCTTGAACAATTCTCTTTCGATTTCCAAGGTCAAAAGTGTGCGCCGTGGCACTCATTTTCGAGCTATCAGGCAAAGCGCAGACCCATGTCGCGCCACGATGTCTAGGCGTGGGATCGAATCCCGCTGCCGCCAACTCTTTTCAGCAGAGTTGAGATGGAACACGGAGAATACGGCACGACGTGGTGATAGAACTAGTGCAACAAGAAAAGGGAACAATTAGGAACAGAAGAGGAGAGAGATAGAGAAGAGAGATAGAGAGAGAGAAGAGAGAGAGGAGAGAGAGTAGAGAGAAGAGAGAGAGAGAGAGAGAGAGGGAGAGGATATAGAGGAAGAGAGAGGAGAGAGAGAGAGGAGAAGCGAGAGGAATAGATAAAGAGAAGAGGAGAGAGAGACGAGAGAGAGAGAAGGTGAGAAGAGGGAGGAGAGGAGAGAGGAGAGAAAAAAGAAGGAGAGAGGAGAGAGAGAGAGAGGAGAGAGACGAGGGGAGAGAGAGAGAGAGGCGGAGAGAGGAGGAGAGGGGAGGAGAGAGCGGAGAGGAGGAGAGAAGAGGAGAGAGAGCGAGCAGAAGAGAGAGAGGAGAGAGAGAGCGCTCTCTCTCTCTCTCTCTCTCTCTCTCTCTCTTCTCTCTCTCTCTCTCTCTCCTCTCCCTCTCTCTCTCTCCTCTCCCTTCCCTCTCCCTCTTCTCCTCTCTCCCTCTCCTCTCTCCCTCCTCTCCCTCTCCTCTCTCCTCTTCCTCTCTCTCTTCTCCCTCTCCCTCTCCCTCTCCCTCTCCCTCTCCCTATCTCCCTCTCCCTCTCCCTTCTCCTCTCTCCCTCTCTCTCTCCTCTCCTCTCTCTCCCTCTCCCTCTCCTCTCTCCTCCCCTCTCCCTCTCCCTCTCCTCTCCCTCTCCCTCTCCCTCTCCCTCTCCTCTCTCTCTCTCTCTATCTCTCTAAAATTATATCTTATCTATATCTGATCTATATCTATATCTATATCTATATCTATATATATATGCATATTATGTATAGCCTGAAGATGTATCTGCTTTTCTGTGAAATGTGCTGCGAGCTATTACAAGGAATGCACATGAGATCTTTTTGTTTCTATCAAATATACCTCGCAGGCGTTATGCAGCCATCGGGCTACGTGCAACAGCCTATGGCTGGGGCGCATAGCGTTATTGCGCCTGACGCACGGAATCTATCGCGACGGTAGCGGTCCAAACCTGGCCGTCCAACGCGACCAGAGGTAGGACCAGGAGCTGTGTTAGGTTCTTTAGTTGTGATGCTGGCAGCCACTGCTGTAGGCCCGGCAATGCCGCATCAGGACCAGCACAGCAACGATAATATAGTAACATTACGAGCACCGCTGATTGGGAAGAAGTTGTGCTCAAAAGCAAGATGGTAAGCATTATAATGATAAGTGCCATAATGACGAGCTGTACTGCACAAAGGCCCTGATATGACATAATTTATAAAACTTCTTTGATAGATCTTGAAGAGCTTAAACACCTGACAGACCTATGGCCAAAGTAACCATGCTCCCTAAAACCATTTCCATGAGGGGTTTTTGGCATAAGGTGGATACAAACATTTTATCATTGGCTTCACCGAATAAACAAACCTGAAAAGTCTTGCTCTCACATCACAAAACCTGCAAAATAAATATTTGGAACTTCAATATGACATTATTTTTTATTCCTGATCAAGCCTTGTAATTTATAACTTTAACTTTCATCCATTGATCTCAGAGAAGGAAAGGTATACCTAAGCAGCTGAAGTGAAATGGGCCACTTAGACAAATTTAGAAGGTTCACCAGTATCTGAAACATATGCAGCCTTGGCTCAAGGCAATAGAAACTATCAATGGTCCTTAGATAAATAGATGAAATAGATGTAAATAGATGAACTAGTAAATAGATGAACTGAAACCAATAGACCTTGAACTATGCCCCAGTTATGCACATTTTTATACAAATACAGCATGCTGCCCTTTTCTAAACAGTGCATGCAGATAACTCCTTTGGTGAAATGTCATCAGGTATGTGCACAACATTGCATCATACCAAACATTTCTGTTACATTGTAGTGCCCTTCCTGTCTCAATAAACACATCTAATGCGATCACACAGCTGTGCTGAACTGACATAATTACTGGTTGGCCCATTTCATGGTTGGTAATGCCACTGGACAAAGGTTATCACTGATTATGTGAAATAGTCAAATGTCAATCAGACAACAATCTCAATTATCATGCATTAAATAATAACAAGACCCTTAGCTCCAACATAAATATACCTGAGCACGCCTTGGCCAATCACTTTGCATGCAGCATTCCACAAGCATCCAAGAGCTGGTAGCCTAAGCCACAACATTCATGACTGGGCAAGTTGTGCAGTGATGAATCATTACATTATCAGTTTTGCTGCAGAATGTTTAAATGAGCCATTATATGTAAACTGAGACATAATGCGACTTGGCAAAGAACAACACACATCTGATTAGCCCAGAGGCACCTGGAATTACTTGAACACAATCTGATCCTCCAACCATGATTCCCAATGCCGCACCACAATTCAAGTGTCCTGGGACATTAAAACAAATAAAATTATTACACATATGATACAAATGATACACATGATACCAATATGATTACACTTAATCGCCACAAACAAACCAAAGATGCCGCTGGCACAGCACTGCCAACTTTTGGTACAACATCCTAAATCTGGTGTTAATATCGATTCTGGTATACTTATAGTACTTGTCGATACCTACTAGTCCAAACTTTGGAGTACTCGGTGTTGTATTGCCCTGCCGAACCACGGCTCCGTTCCCGGGAGACGACCGCACAGGGAAGCAGTCTTCAACGACAGAAAGGGCCCCAATTACGGCTTCCATTCTCTTTTAATGCTGCTTGTTTAGGACGTTACCGAATTCTTAGAAATTATCTATTAGCGAAACTCAGCTTAAATAAAAAGGCAAATTGAACAAGTCTACAAAATTATTTCACTTCAAAACCAATAGGTCTGACCAAGGGAGAACAAGGCATACCTCTGTAGCTCTACACTCACATTTAAGTTTGATGAGGCCGTTCCGTAGATTGATGACAAAAATTACGTTCTTTCCTTCGATACCCCTTTTGTGCGTTTTCATGGCGCATTCAGATCGTATTTCTTGGTGGAGAATACGCCTTGTCTTCAATGCTAAATTCTCCCCAAGAGCCAGACTTCGGGGCGGTTGATTCTGCGTGTCCGCACGAGTGCTTTGGATACTTTGTGACGTCATTGTAATACCTTACATAGAATTTCTCCTTCTGATAGTTTGACAAAAAAGATAGATAAAGAACACGTAGGAAACGTTTGAATGGTTATTTCCTCCATATATGCTAAATTAACGTTGTGTTTATGCTTTTATTTATATATCTTTAAATGCATGGCTTATTTAACGTCATTTATTTTCATATCAATTTCATCGTGTAATCCAGAAAAGTTGAATCATGCCTTCACAGCTGATCCCGTGTTCTTTCTCCTCCGTGGCTATCCGCCAGTGGAGTCGATTGTTTGGGATGTGGGGTTCTGGTTTCCGAGTGGGTTAGGGAGTGTCGTCGGTGGACGGTAGGTGAGTTGAAAATATGCTGGTGAGCGGGGACAGACCTGAGTGCGTAGTGCATTGTGAGGAAAGATTGTGTGCCATTGCCAATGTTGAAAAATTATTCAGCTGAAACCCGCCAGCAGCGTGCCTCTTTCAGTCGTGAGTGTGGCGCGCGGCGTTGCCGGTTTGGGGACGGGCTCACGCCTCACGTTGAACACGGAGAACAATTTTTCGTATTCTTTTCAGTGTACATTTGTGGAGAATAAAATGTCTTGGGGCGAAAAACACCAAGAAACTCCCAAATTTCAGACACTGCACACAGGCCAGAATAGTCCAGAACCTATCCTAAACTAGCCTAACCTAACCTAACCTAACCTAACTGAACCTAACCTAAACTAACCTTACCTTACCTAACCTAACCTGACCTGACCTAACCTAACCTAACCTAACCTAACCTAACTGAGAATAGACCAGAACCTAAGCTAAGCTAAGCTAACATAACCTAACCTAACCTAACCTAACCTACCTAACCTAACCTAACCCTAACCTAACCTAACCTAACCTAACCTGACTAACCTAACCTAACCTCCCCACCCTGTATCCCCTTCAACCCAGCATCCTGTTGGCATCCATGTTCCATGCCATATATAGGTGCAGTGTAGTGAGCTTTTATTTAGCTGCCATGTTCTCATTTTGCTTTACATTCCTCACCCAATCCCCTGCAACCCATCATCCCATTGGCATCCAGGATCAAATGTCATGGATTCTTGTTACCTTGGCCCTGTACATTTTTATGGTTCTTGATGCTGCTTGATGCACAGTAATGTTGTGACCGTGCACAGTAATGGCGCCGGTGTCGAGTCTGCTGTGTGTGTGCTGCACCCAGGAGCTCACCATTGTTATTGTAAAAAATTTGAAGGTAAGAGCATGAATCTATGTGTTTGGTGATTATTTACGGTATGTCCTGCCTTAAACGCGACAAATGGTGTACAATTATTTTTTCTAACATTAGGTAGGAAAGTACACCCTCACCTGGCTGGCAGTTGAATCCCAGTCTGTGAAAAAGATGGGCTGCTAAGGTATGGCCATGGCATGCCTGCACCTCTTTGGTGTGCTGCACCTAGCATGTGTGCATCATATTCAGGATAGGATAAATTGCATCAAATTATTGAAAAGCTTCTGCCCAATAACATTTTGGATGAATTGCTGGATGAAGGTACCTTTGTAATGTTGTGATTTCTGAAAACATTTGCTGTGTATGCATTGAATTGTGTGGCTACTATGCAAAAATAGTGCATTGTAGATAAACAGCATGCATATACTAAAATTGTGGAAAGGTTGCTGCTGCTGTGTTGGACAAACTTGGTGTGAGGAGTTTGTGCAGTCTGGTACTTAGACTCTGCAAACTTGTTGGTGCATGTTGGCAAGTAGTGGGAGGATAAAGGCCCATCCATAAGTCATGTCACACATTTTTTGCAGCTTTCAAATCTACCCACCCTTGTGACATGCCATTTGTGCCAGACACTCCCTCTGGGTCTCCAGGTTAAGCTTTGTAACCTGGCATGAAATTGAACTTGAGATGGTTTTACTTACTCTCATGCTCTGATGTTTGCATAGTGTTGTGACCAAATGTTTTTGTTCCAGGCCCATCACACTTATAGGCATATATTGGTCTTTGTAACAGAGACATCACTGACTGTGAAAGAAGCTGTGCCATTGAGGAAGACCGGGATGCTTGGGAAGGTAATTATGAATTGGGTGAAGATTTGGAGACATGTTTCATCAGTTTGGGTGCCCATTGGAAATATATAATCTATTAAAGTCATCTTGCTATCTTTCCATTTTCTAGATTCCTTTCAGAGGCAACATTGTGACCACATAAAAATGTAGTACAACATAGGCAGTAACATCACAAAGTGTAATGTGTATGATGGCTTCTAGGAAATAATGGAGTCAGTGTGGGAATCAGTGGAATGATATAAGACAGCAGGCATAGCTAGCACTAGGCAATGGGTGCAGTGCACAGGAACAACCATCTGTCAGGATGAGAAAGGGTTTCCAAAACCTTTTTGTAAATCAACATGTTCCATTGAGAGTTAGAATGGGGCACAAACATAATATGTGTAAGTTTAGCTTGAACTTCAAAACAGCAGCAGTTATGGCAGTGCAAGCAATTTCAGCCACACCAATATGATGCATGATATTGGGATATGCTCAGAAGTGTGGGCAAGGGGCAGGGGCATGCATGAGTCCCCTGGATCCTGAAGGGCCTGAAGGGACCCTCTGGGCTACATGAACCATCTATGCCTAGATGTTAGACCCAACTGGATACTTAAAACGCTGATTTCAAGCTGCATTGGAGGTCTCAGCCCACATGCCGGGCCCGTGAAGGTCAGTCAGAGGTCTTCTGGCACCAATTGGGGACACCTGGAGCAGTTTGGGTCTTTGCCAGTCAGAGAATGTGGATACAAAATAAAGCCCTGTGTCAGCCTGGGAGAGTTTCCAGCAGGGAAAAGGTGAGGGCTTCAAAATATCAATAAGAATACTGTAGCATAGGTTGGCGCCTCAGGGACAATGGTAGACCCTTGTGATGGCCAGGCCACCAAAGTGCGTGACAAAAGGTCCTTTACCTGATAGGAGTCCCAAATTGGCCACGACCCCATTTCCTGAACAGGGACATGGATGGGATCCTGAATGTTTGAGGCCTACTTGTGTTGGCATGGTTTGCTGGGTGGTGGCATGATATATCAAATAAAAATGGGGCAGAAAGAGGGGGTCCACAATGAAAGCGCCCAGTACCGAACAGGAACCTCTCCGACAGGAAGGTGACCGACGCCAAACTGAGATTTTGAGGGTCTCTGGACCGAACAAGCGACCCGGCTCCCGTGCCGCCAGAATAGCTGCTGGTAGGTACACCGGGCATAGACGAAAACGCCCTTCATTCCCTGACTGGAAAAGAAAATGAGACTTTTGGACCCACGGAACCCCCTGTCTGGGGAGGGTCATTAACATTCAGTGGGTTGGATCTCAAGGGAGTCAGCAAATTTCGGGAGATGTACGATCAGTGTTCGCCTGATGACGCCTGTCCATTTTCGAGTAGTAAACAAGTAGTTTTGAGTATGCGCTCGAAAAGCTTAAGAGCAGGAGCACCGGGGCCTGGCATTGCAGTTGCCTTAGAATCACATGTCGATGGACGCTGCAGAGAACGCTAAGCGTCAGGTGCAGGACGCGAAAACGACCAACGGTCGGGAAAGTAACGTTTCCAAAAGGTTTTGAATTCAATTTGTTCCATCAAAAGTTGAGAATGGGGCATATATATTACATGTGCAAGTGGAACCCGACCTTCCAAACGCAGTAGCAGTTGCAGTGGCTCAAACAACTTCTACTTCACCATTATGTCGTGCTCGTGGTGCTGTGAGTGCTGTCCGTTCTTGGTCCAATCTGAAATTTACGCGGGTGAAATTCATGGCATGCAATACCTTCCACACGCATATCTTGTTTTGTGAAGCCTGTGAAAGTACTACGTTCCGATGCACGATCTTTTTAACACAGCCATGAAGGCTGCGTTCTCGCTGCGCATGCAGACTGCAACGCCGGACGTTTGTGTTGCGTACACATTGTAGGGGAGCATTAAAAAAACTGTTTGTTATCCTTTTTGCGCCGACTGATTCTGAGGAAAGGTCTAATATCCCCAGACTAACATAGATGGGGCACGTCAATAAAATTGGTTGACGACGTTATGATTTTCTACCTTCCCATGAATGTATGAGAAAAAGTACGGAAAAATCCGGCAACGCCTCTGACTTATTGATTTAGGGATCGCAGAATAGACGATGGTGAAACGAAAAGCGCTATCTTTCAACGCTCGCTACCTCGTTTGTTTATTTTATGAAAGGTACTTTCGAGTAAAATTGCGTGTGTGGGTAATTTCCAGCTATTATTTCAGTCCAAGAAGGTTTCTCCAAGATAACGGAGGGAAATTGGACACCCGACATGAATTGGCCATATCTGACGAGACTTTTTAGAGATCACTTATAGGGGGCTTCGTTAACCTTGCTTACCCCATCCTCTTGCCAAAGTTCTGACTGCATCCCCAGGTATGTTCAATGACCATATTGTGTTCCTTATCTCTCTTTCCAGCTTCAGGTGTGGAGGGTGTAAAGATGGGTGGGTCCAGTCTAGTGATACCAGTAGGTGTATTTACACTCATGTCTGTCAGCGCTGTAACAAAACCAAGCTAAAAGAAACCTTTGGAGCATCATGGAGATATTCTTCCATGTGAATCAGGAGAAGTAGTCCTCTGTGTGTGTGCAAAAGAACAGGTGATGTAACTTTGTAACTGAGGTTCATATGAAAGAAACCACATTGAGAATATTTCATGCATACAGGCAAAGCTACAGACAGAATTATTCTGCTTGGATTGTTATGGTGGCTATAACTCGGTCGTGAGCAGATCACACTGTCTAGTTGCGGGTTACACTGACCAAGCACATTGTCTCCTGCTGAGGCAACGTCATTTTCCACCCAGAGGAAGTGTGGTTTGGGGTAATGGTCAGCAAGAACTTGTGAAAATGTCCATTTTAAATGCGAAATACGAGGGCGAAGAAAGAATTCAAGAAATCCATGTTCATAATTTAAATAAAACACTGCGTCAAGGCAGTCTGCCGGAGAGGTGGATTACAAAGGGGCACTGAAGCTTCTCTATTTATGATGTTAAGCATCTGCTACACTCACATATCATGTAACCATCTGGCAGTTGGAGCCATGCAATTTACCTGGCTTAGCGTGCAGAGGTATTATAAATTCGTTTTAATCTGTGCCTGACGCTCATTAATACTGAATATGAAAATCCTGAAAAATTATCTCACCAGGTTTCCTACTGCATTCATCCAGTTGCCACCAAATAAGGCCATGTCAGCATTGGTTCGGCACGTGTGTTCATGTGTTAAAACTGTTCTGGTATATTGTATGTCATGTAAATCATTGTTTTTCAAACAATCATATTATTCCGCCTTGATGAAACAGAAAGATGGTGTTTGAGGTGTGATGGTAGCAAAACATGTCCTCAGAATGAACAGCAAGTGGTATATCTGGACGGCAAGAAGTACATTCTGTGCGAACGACCTGATGTGATGGAAAATATTGAAGAGGTAAGGAAATGTCAGTTGCGATTAGTTTCCTGTACAGCTCTTTGCATAATAGAGGAGGGAGATAGGGAGGGAAGGGCCTTTTTTGCACTGTATGTGGTTAACGCGCGCTCGTGTGGGCCTCAATGTGATCCCCCGAAGGTTTTTCCGGAATGGTGTCTGAACGGGGTGGCGTAACCTTGCCAAATTTTGAAATTTTGTGGAGAATTGAATTGCGGATCGTTTGGTATAAAAAATTTAGATGCAACTTTTAATGTCGATGACCTACGACAGGTTAAGGTGAGACCATGGATTCAGCGAAGACGATTTCTAGGGAAACGTTCAATATAATGCAACAGTGGAGTGTTAGAGGAAGCTCTGCATCTCTGAGATAGATTCTTAGGCAACACGACAATTGAATGAACGGATTCTATTGACCTAGGGTCAGGTATGAAGGTCAGACCCAGGTCAAAACCAGCCTGTTTTACCACGCTATAGGTTGCTGTGTGGGGGTGGTTTCTGTTACTCATCTCGAATTTATTGATAACAGGAGCTGCAGTATGCATGCTCCATAAACTTCTTAAAAGTCGGGATAATTCGGGATAGGTCACTGACCTGAAATGGCCCAGATCAACATTTTATCCGTAGGAACATGCTGCATAGCGTGATATTTGGCGCTTATTGGCAAAACTTGAAGTAATCCATCATGATTTTGGTCACCATGACCTCTGAAAAGCCTAAAAAGGTCACTGACCTTAAATGGGCGCCAGTGATATTTTGCCTAGAACAGGTATCTAGGTCCTTGGGCACTTTGGGTGCCAATCGGGAGTGTAGCCCCGTTGGTGCCTGCCATATTTTCTTTTCCCGATGCGTGCTGACACGATACAATGTATCAGATTTTTAGCAACATAGACAAGGCAGAAATGCCATTTTTACACGCTGTAAACTTCATTATGTGAAAATTTCTCCCTGTCCCTTGTACTGCACCACGAGGTTGTGGAGACTCGTTACCACGAAAATGACAACAGCAGCAATGCCGTTGGTACTGGTGTTGAATTTAGCCACACTGAAACGCGTGGCAGACGACCGTAAAATTGACTAAATCGCTAGGGATCTCCTTCGTTATATGTTTTATTCAACAGCAAAAGTCAGATGAAATCCCTGCAAACGCGAAGTGTGCAATTGGTAAAAAAAATATTGGTTGTGAAGGGGACGGGCGCTGAAAGCTTACTTTCCACTCTTTGTCGATAAATACATGTCTCTTCTAGGAACTGATGCAAGGCACGTTTATGGCTTTCAAATGCAAACCTGAAAAGGACAGCTGTATGCAGTGGTTGAAACTTTTCGAATCATTTACTAAAAGAACGTTCACCATCTACACATCATCGGGCGGTGGAAAGTTTCTTGTTTATAAGGTATGTATATCCAGCGTCATTGTTAAGCGGCTGATGAAGTAACAAGCTAAAACCATGGCTGACACACTCCTTTGCCTCGTCAGCATGGCCTCTTTTATCATCCCTTCACAAAGAATGCACTATGTAACTAAACTGAGAAGATTCTAGCATTGCTATGCGCAGCGTTTCGTCAACACAGGAATCAATGAATCTTCTCTTTTCCCCTTTTATGTCCACATGTAATATGCAATTCTCATTATTGCCACTTTTTGCCATTTTCACCTATGCCACTGAATATCGTTGTGGAAACGGTGTTTAAACGCTGCGCAATTATGTTACTCAGTTGATTGACTGCGATGTTTCAGGCGCGGCTTCGTTGCCACCATGACGTACCAGACCGTTTTAGCCGCCAGCGGAAGAAGATTTCAGACAGGAATTGGAGCTGCCCAACTCGGATGACGGTAGCCATTAGACAGAGCGCTGCAAAGTAAGGCAACGACATGTCCCGATAAGTATCTCAACACCTGGCGCGTAAAAACTCAAGCCCGCAAATATGCAATATTATCGGTTTGGTGTGGATAGACAGCAGACATGGGGAAAACGAATTTGACTGTGCGAAGCCGCAGTTTTCGGTAGATACGTGGGCTTTGGTCTTGACTCATTTTTCACGACTGGCCTAGCTTCAGCTTTGTTACATTCCTGTTAGCTGGCTTCGGTTTCGGCATGGAAAATTCCTTAAAGTTATGGCTGCTTCTTCGATTTCAAGTAGTTCAGAATTGTCGGCCTCGGCTTTTTGTGGCGATTTTTTTGCAGTGCAGTAACGGCTATACTTAACGAAAATTCTTACAGCTCTACCACCCAAATGCCATGTAACGTTTCGATGCGACACAAACGTGGCTGAACGCCAGAAGCCAGCCAGTAATTTTCATGACCAATTGACCGATCAAAACAGGTATGTTCGAAATTTGAGGTTCTGAAGCAAGCATCAGATATGATGAAAAAGCTGACTTATACGTTGGTATACCTTCAAGTGGAAAAAGCTGCCCGAGGTAACACAATTTTTCTGTTTAGTAAAGAAGCTCCTCAACGCGTCATCGTTTGATTACGTCATCGTGCCTTACTTAACATTGATTAGGAGCCAATTGACGGCCTTGTATCTAGAAATCGTGCTCACGAACGCCAGGTATGAACAATATGGCAATTATAATTATGGCCTTGATCACCGCATGGCTAATGGAATGACATGACTTGAATGACGTTGCGGCGTTGTGGATGTCGGGATGACCTTGAAATAGTCTCCCTCTTAAAGTCCACATCTTCACGAGTCTTAAAAAGGCAGGGCTGTGAACTGCACCAAGCGACCTTCAAAATGGCTATTTAGGTTCAAGGGCTTTACAAATGTGGAAGCACTTGACTACGACCGGCGGCTCTCACATATATCTGTCATGGTATTTGTGTTGCCTTCTTTCCCACGTCGTGCTTGTTCCTTAGTCGCGAATCAAACATGTATTTGTTTTTTTTCTTACTGTCGTGAACCAGAATGATGTTGCTTTGTTTGCTATCATTCCTTTAAGGCACCCTGCATCACAAACATGATCTCCGTTGTCATTTAGGCACCAACTGTAAAGGATGGTATCCGGTGGTTTTACTGCATATCACTTGTTGAAGTTAAATGGATGAATGGAACGGGTTATTTCACTCGCCTTCACAGGGTCACGAGCAAAAAGCCTTACGCAGGCTATGCGATGAGGGTGACATGCAACGGGGAGGTCCACAATCATGCGAGAGACTCAGTTGCGACTCTCAAGTTTAGACGGGTCGGAGAGGCGGCAAAGGAGAGAATGCTGCGGCTTTTCGCCCAGCAGCTTTCGCCACCAGAGGCGCTGAGGACTCTCAAGCAACAACTCCGGGAAGAACATGGCAGCGACTATGACAGGGTTGCAGCCGACCGTTCCGTTGTACCTGATCTGGGCTATGCTTACAGGTGAGTGCAACTAGCGACAGCGTAAATTACAGAGACGGTGATTAATACAAATGGTGGAGCGGACGCCGACGCTGACCATGACGTTGACGCGTAACGTAAAGAGAAATGGGGGGGGGGGGGGGGCGAGGTTCATGCCCAAATTCAAGATGGTATGACTGCTTGACAGTGATAAATGATATATGACAACGCGGTGGCATCCCACATCAGGACGAACGGCCAAGCGCTTTTTACATTCCCAACTGTTTTTTACCTTTTCGTTGCCCGGCGTTCTTAGCTTTCCTGGCGCATTAGCTTTTTGGTGTCTCCAAGTAGATTTGGTGTGCACACTTCGTATAAATGCTTTGTGACCCAAAACAATCCATTATGCCTGCTGTTTCCTGATTGTATGCAGTCATAAGTGTGTAGCAGTCTAGCAGTCTTATTTTAAGTGGTCAGCGTGACGCGAATGAAGTTGGCAGAAAAAATATGTCCCTTAGAATCAATCTCTTCACTTATTTATTGGCTTCCATTTTCGCAGAAAAACTCGAACGCCCGCGCATTTGCCACTTCGCATTTGCGTCTAACCTACTTTACAAGTGTGTCTAAACGTCGAGATAAAGACCCTACAGTCCCGTATGTTTAGTTGTATATATCATGCTGAAACGCCAATAGTTCAGAAAGAAGACAATGAATAGATTATAGCCATCAATGGCCGTAGACGTTTTTCACGGGATGCAGATATTTCCACCAGCAAACTTGTTGCCTCTCCTCAGCTTATACTATGCTAACTTCGGCAAGAGGAGGAAGATGAAGATAAAGACGAATGGGATGAAGACGGTTGAGACGAACGCAATTGAGACGAAGACAGAACCAAACGACCTGGAAGAAATGGAAGTGTCTGGAATGGTGGTTGGTCGGGAGGGCGATGAGACTATTGTCGCGGCCATATCCCCAGTGGAGCGAGTACAGTCCCTGAACGGGGCCTCAGATGTCGTCTTTGTGGATTCCTCAGGACATTTCCTGGACGAGTGGCTCATCCCAGCGGATGCGTCAGAACCAGGCGTCATGGATGGTGGCCTCGATGCTGTTGTGTATTGTGCTCCTGATGCTGATATGCGGGGTGGTCCGACTATTTCTGTAGATGGCGGTCCAGATATTTCTGTAGATGGTGACCCAGACATTTCTGTAGATGCGTCCTCGGGTATTCCTGTGGATAGTAGCCCGGATACTGGTGAGGCCAGTGTCCCTGCTGCTGCCATAGATTGTGGCATGGATACTGTTTTAGATAGCGGCGTGGCTGTCGTCGTGGGTGGTGGCCCTGACGCTGCTGTTCACGCACCCGGTGGCGACGCAGCCTGGTCGACTGATGCCGCGGGCGCGACGACCGACGTCGCGGATGATCCGCGGCCACAGAGTCGCGTTGCGACCGCGGCGGTCGAGCGCATCCAACAATGGGCGGCGCTCGTGAGCCGGCAAATTCTGGAAGAAGACGACGGCCGGTGGCGCATTGCTTCAGACACCTTTATCCGGCAGTGGGAGAGGCTCACCATCGCTGGGAGATTGTCGGCTCTCCGCGGCTTTGGTCGTCCGTCGAGACAAAATCGAAGCCTTTCACAATTCGCCGTGCGGTCTGCGAATGCGACCATTAGCTCCTTCGTGCGTGCCAGGGTCAAGGTGCCTGCTGTTGGTCCGCGCGAGGTGACCCGGACTCAGGAGCTTTACACGCGGCAGCCTCCGCTCGCATAGCGGCCTGGGACGAGGGCAGCCACATGCTCAGTAAGGACATGCTCTGAGCCATGAGTGTGTGAATATGTACATGATTTAATGAACCTCACGGTGTTATGATTTCGCTATCATCCGTATTACAGTGGATATTTGAACAATACATGTTCCGAGCACCGATTATATTCGTGTGTGTAGTCATCTCATCACCGCGATGACTGAAGGCACACACTTGTAAATAAAGCTTCGCTTGTCCGTAGGCAAAGGGATGCAGCACGTATGCTCCCTGTCTGTGCGTCCCACTACTTGCGATCTGAGAATCAAGCCGTCAGTTGCAGACTTTCTAACTGACATTCGCTCCTCAGTAAAACGGTTGGTTGGCTAAAAGAATTGGTGGTCTCTCTCTCTCTCTCTCTCTCTCTCTCTCTCTCTCTCTCTCTCTCTCTCTCTCTCTCTCTCTCTCTCTCCTCTCTCTCTCTCTCTCTCTCTCTCTCTCTCTCTCTCTCTCTCTCTCTCTCTCTCTCTCTCTCTCTCTCTCTCTCTCTCTCTCTCTCTCTCTCTCTCTCTCTCTCTCTCTCTCTCTCTCTCTCTCTCTCTCTCTCTCTCTCTCTCTCTCTCTCTCTCTCTCTCTCTCTCTCTCTCTCTCTCTCTCTCTCTCTCTCTCTCTCTCTCTCTCTCTCTCTCTCTCTCTCTCTCTCTCTCTCTCTCTCTCTCTCTCTCTCGCTCTCTCTCGCTCTCGCTCTCGCTCTCTCTCTCTCTCTCGCGCACCAAACACTCAATCGCAATGCCTCACTATTTCCCACCTTGACGCATGGTAACCATTGTGTTTTAAAACAAGGTTAGTAGGTTGCAAGGTTTAAAAATGGATGCGTCACTGCTAACTGGATATACGCACGCACGTGCGCACGCATGTACGTCACCGAGGGTCTCGAGGGCCCGAGGGGCTTCTCGGAACCTACTGTTGCCCATTTCTATTTACTTTGGTACTTCGGGCCCAATTTGTAGGCCATAAGGCTCAAAACGTCGGTCGGAAGTCGTATTTAGGGACTCTGGCACACAGGGCCGGGCATTTTCAAGCCCAGCCAGAGGGCCCTGCGCGCCGACCAGGCGTCCCCTGAGTCGGTAAAAGCCGATGTGTCTGTAAGATGCGACCAGCAACGTACAGTCCGTTTCGTGGCAGCATGGATCTGAGGTCCCATTTGTCAAGCAGGGACAAAGCCGAAGCCAGCACTTTGCATTGGTCGGGGCCCCAGCGTCTGCCAAAGCCCCTCACAGCGTCTAACGGCGGCCCTGGTTTTGCAAGGTGCCCTGAGTCGGTCGGGTGCAGTGCACGGAGTGTCCCGAAGAGCCTGGAGGGCCCACCGGCCCTGACGATCGAGAGCCTGATTAATTGGTCTAAGGGCTGGTCAGAATCTTATTCAGGGGTCCGGCCTGTGGGGACGAGCCCGAAAATTTCAGTCAGGGGGCCCTTTGCGTTCATCGGGGGCCCCCTTAATCGATATGGGCCTTTGTGTCGGTTAGGCACCGTCAGTACCGCACAGTTGGCTCCGTGTTGGTATGGACACGAGGTCCCACTTCCCAATCAGCTACAAAGAGCGGGCTAGGGATCTACACTGGTCGGGCGTCCTGTTTCTGTCAGGGACCCACAGTGCCTCACAGAAGGTCCTGTCCTCGCAAGGGACCATGGGTCGACCGATCAGAGATCCTCTTGCATCCGCTTGAGAATCCGCTGACAAGATGCGGTTGTTCAAGTCGGCCAGAGACCCCGAACACCGAACATTTGACTCCTTTTGACTCTTGGCACTGGGGACCCATCTCCCAATGAGATGCAAGGCTAATGGCCACGATGTGCATTGGCGTGGGCCCCTGAAACAACGGATGGGGCCCTGTTTTAGTCAGGGATGCACAGTATCTTACAGGGGGTCATGTGACAGCAAGTGACCCCGAGTCGGCCAAGAACGGCATTTGAAGAGGCCCGAAGATGGACGGAGGGACCTCATCAGACCAATGATCAGGGGTCGACTGCAAGGCTGAAAGGCCCGAAGGGCTTGCGGTAGGTTATCGTAAGGAGCTCGTAGCCCGTGGGGCCGTGATCTCAAATGCCAGTTAGAGGGCCTGTTACACCGGCTGGAGACCCCTAAAACAGAGTGCCGCTTTATTTCGGCCAGAGATCACAAACACTTGACAGTCGGCTCCGGATCAGTCTGAGCTCTGGGGGGCCCATTTCCCAAGTAGGGACATGGTCGAGGCCGTGATTTCCATTGGCTGGACTCCCTGCAGCAATGTGGGGCTTCTGTTTCGCGGGCCGAACAGAGTAATCTGTGTCAACAGGGGGCCTCGATTCGCTCAGGGTACGATTTGCTCAGCAGGAACGAGAACGGAACCCTGAATGACAAATAGGGGTGCCGGTAGTGTAGTGGTTAACGCGTCTGCGTTAGCGACTGCGCATCTGGGAAACCAGAAGTACGGGATTCGATTCCCGCGGTGCCCGCCCTTCCTGCCAGGGTGAGAGGCAGGCGACGCCATATAGCCTTAGCAGCTGGGTGCATCGTAAAGCCCCAATGAAACACACACACACACACACGCACACGCACACGCACACGCACACGCACACACACGCACACGCACGCACACACACACACACACGCACACACACACACACGCACACACACACACACACACACGCACACACACACACACGCACACACACACACACACACACACACACACACAGAGAGAGAGAGAGAGAGAGAGTGAGAGAGGGAAATATATATAATTGATAAAAATCATACAGTGAGTGGCCATATGTGTTTTCGCGCCACCGCCAACAAAATCGGGGAATGTAGGGAGCTAACGATTCCAGCTTTCAATAGCAGGTACGAGTGCACGTAAGCAGGTCGTGGAAAGGCAAAGATGAAGGTGTTTGGTTATCTCGAAATGTTTAAGCGTTTATATGTATTTATGCATATATAAAATGCATAAGTGCATTCACAGACATTCATACCCACCGAACCTGACCACACATTCAGTCCACCAGCCGAACTCTCAGTACCCAGAAGTTTCACCAAACGCATCTCGCTTACTCCTGTAATCTACGCTTGCCGTCCAAACCCGCTCCAACTCTTTCACCTGTAGGGCATCTATGGAGTGGCCAGGTGTAAGAGAATGTCCCTGCACGGGCACATCAACACAGTGGGCTTTGTCGATCGGATGGATGGAAGGTGGCTCGGCACGTACGCGTAGACTCTTATATTATGTGTTACAAAACGTGATTCCAGATTAATATTTGCACGGCTTGCTAAACGTTGATTGAGAGCCAATTGACGTTCAGGATATCAGAAGTCGAGTTCACGAGCGCCAGATCTGAAAGGCTCTACGAGTTTATCTTATATTCTTTTTGGTCTTGAACCTTTTTGGCCTTTTTGGCATTGGCCATGGCCAATGGGGTGGCAGAATTTTAATCACGTGGCTATGTCACCATGCATGCCTGAACGGCTTTGAAATTGTGTGCACGGAATAGGGTGCATATCTTCGCGGGCCTGTAGCTCAGGAACTAAAGGGTTTCAAGTCTTAAGAGGGCCAGGGCTGAAAAGTGTACCGAATGATTTAAAATGGTCTGTAAAATGTGGAATGTTTGCTTGAAGCTCTGGCATCATGACCTGGACACTACGCCCGACTTACGCGTCACAAGGCGTCGACACGTTGTCGATGTACCGATCCTGGCATGTGGCCAGAATGTGTCCAGTGCACAGCGATAACAACATAGACGGCCACGGTCCGGTCGGCGACCGCCAATGTCAGTCGGTGGTGGGTTGGATGGGATGGGATGACACCATGCAATGAGGCCAATTGATGATCATGCTCCACGCACTTTTGATGAAGACAAAACAGCATGAATACATCCAGCGAGAGCTGCTAAATTTTTTCCTTAGTTCTGAAAGCACAAACTGGCGAAGTATCCCCCCACAAAATGGCTGTGAAGCAGGTGTCGATATCTCCCTACTTGCATGATATGCATATGAGTCAGGAGATGCCATCAGTTGGCCGCTAAGGAGAGCGTTGGGGGGGGGGGGGGCTTTGCGCTATGCCGCTTGCCGCCGTGATCTGCGAGACTGTGGTGAGTTAGATCAGACTGGCGTCGGCATAACAGGGAACAAGTACTTGCTGAACCCACGCTCCCATGAGAACGCTGCTCGCAGTGGAACTGATCCCAGGAACTCAGAACGCAGGCATCCGGTCAGTGGTTCAGGCGTGAGACATTCCGAACCAAGTGGGCCCACGGATGAGTAACATGAGAAACCACTGGGCAATGTGGCTGCTTGCGGACGACATTGCTGATTTATGAGGTGAGACAATGCCGTTGGATAGAGCTGTATGCAGCAACTCGACTCCCGACTTGGACACGTTGTGCAGGGTCTGCTTAGCCATCGCAGCGTCAGTCTGCTGGTCTGCCGTTTTTATGCCAAGCCGTGCGCTTCGTATCGGGCTGACTGGTCCAGTGCAATTCGCGTAGAAATCCACTGGAGTTGGGGTCAGTGACGGAGTTGCTCACCTGTGATTTTGCCATTTGACACGTTACATCTGCGCACATCTTCGAAATATTCACGCCGCAGATGTCTCGGTCAACGGTTGAAACGGTGTTTACATTTGCATATATGTATTGAACTAACCATACGCATTATATACAACGTAACAACCAGGAACCAATAACAGACAAGCACATAATGCCACGTAGTTCAGTTTTATACGCGAAATGTCGAATGCCCTGCCCACCTTAGCAGTCTTGTCACCACCGGCAAGCCATGAATGCATGAGGTATGCATGTAAACACATGCATAGCTTTAGGCCACGGTGGTGCATCATACACCTTCAAAGCGACATATATCATGAAGTGGGAGCAGCAAACGTAATCATACAAGAATCCCTGAATGGGCGTCAATTCAGATGCACTAAAAAGGGGTGGCAACTCAGACGTTGCAGCAATGCTCCAAACAGAGTGGCACTTCAGCAGCCCTGGGTTGGAGTGCACATCGGGGAGCGGCTTATTCACCGTCGGCCAGCGGTGATTCTGTCTATGTGGCTCACATGCTGGTCTTAGGTTGGAATGCACATCATGGAACGGGTCATTCACCATCGGCCAGCGCTGATTCTGTCTATGGGGCTCGCATGCTGAGAGGCTATGC